ACACACACACACACACACACACACACACACACACACACACACACACACAAAGACAAGAAAAAAGAAAACAACAAAAGGTGTATATTACTTAGCGATAATAACAGGTCTGATTTTAAAAGTCCACTCATGTGGATTCCTATGAATCGAGCTCAAAACAGCTGCACAATTTACTGATAGCACATAAAACTCTTCATAGTGACAAACTCAACTACTACAGTCCAACTTAGTACTTGGCTACAATGTAAACGTACTGAACTTTCTTATTTTTACTCGTAAATAATGTTAAAACAACTGTAAATTCAGATGTTGAGACAACAGTGAAAGGGAAACAGTGTAAACATACAAACTCCTGTTCAAAGATAAAACTACACGTGAACAACTATCATGATCTGACTGACATGTGTGAACCCACGTGCAGGAAGATGAGACTCCAATAAAATCAGTAAAACGTTTATTTTATAAATAAACAAAACAAAATTCTGTCCTCCGTAAGCTGACTTATGGAGGACACAAAGGAAGACAGATCACAGAGCCTTAGACAGGACAACCCAGAGACAAAGACATGACACCAAGGGGCTGAGTATATGAAGACACCGACAAGGTGAAAGGTGAAATGACAGACACCTGCGGTGATTAGGCTCTGACAGGTGTGACAGTGCTGGAACACGGGGAGGAGAGACGCTGAGGGGTGACAGGCAAACATGAGGAAAACACAACATGTAAGACAAGACCCCAGAAACCCCACAACAGCAGCATACATAAACTGTTTGCCTTTTCCTTTACTGCCACAACACAACAGGGCAGAAAACTGCATTTTATCATCAGAAAGACATACAGTAGGACCTAGCTCCCAAACTGAGAAAGATGCTGTTTTCTTGCAGCTGGGAAAAACAAATTATAGCTTTAAAAAAAAAATAAAAGAGATTCACTTTCAGTAAACATGTTTGCATTAGATAAAACATGGAATATGAAGCAGACATGGACCTTCTGTTAACGAGTCTCCAACAATATGGAGTGTAATCTGTGTTTGCGTGAAAAGAGGTGTGGCTCACCTGTCCGTTCATGACTCCGACCAAAGCTGGTTCCATCCACTGGACCGGCTCGATGAAGTAAGATGTGCAGTGGACTTCTCCTAAAGAACAACATGTTTTACATCGATGTTTATGAGCAGCTACCAGTTCAGTCTGTGCGATGACCAAGGCAGGATTTATTAACAGATTTTTAATCGTCCACAGAAATAAAGCTGTCACTAAAAACAGAAACAATGACTCACAGGTTTGTTTCCACCAGCAAGACAACAGCACTGTATTACCGTAGGCGAATTTATGAAAAATGTAAAAAAAATTGTTGGGTTTTTTTTGTTGCTTTTTGTTAATTATTCTCTCAGCTTTGAGACCAAAGTAGATTAAAAAAAAACAACTAAAAACCTAAAAGTTTAGGGGCAGCACAACGAAGCAGTGGTTACAGCTGTTGCCTCACAGTAGCTTTGTTTACATGGACATAAGTAACCGGATTAAACGGCCGTTCAGAATAGAAATGTATCATGTAAACACCCCATTCGGATTATTCTTGATTCAGCTCGATCCGAATGAATTTGTAATCAGAGTACCTATGTTTACATGCAGAAAATTCTTTGACTGGATTTAAATGTTTTCAGATTAAATAATTCAAATGTATTGTTTATATGGGCACAATCTGTTCACGATGAGTGTTTACATGCAGCTTTTATTCTGAATAGAAGTACTGACATGCGCAGAGTGGTAATCTCTCCTTAAAAAAAACACAGAAGAAGAAGTTCGACTTTCGGTTTACTTCTGTGATGAACGTAAACAAACCTGAGCGCTCCAAACGGACCCGCGACAGGTTTTAATGATGGTGGAGACGTCCCTGACTGAGCTACAGGTAATACAGATTATTTTGAGCTCTTTCAAAGTTTCTAGTAAAAATGTTGTCGCTCACCGACCAGTTTTACTTCCCCGACATATTAACATCTAGCCAGGTGGAAATGCATGAGGTAGACATACAGTAGGTCGCACATGCACAGTCACTTAAGTTTTCCACGATTGGAAAAAAAAGAACAGATTAAGTGTTGACATGCACACCGTTCAGATTATGAATCAGCATAAACCACCCGTCTCATTCTGATTCCAAATTCTTTCGGATCAAGCTGAATCAACAACAAAAAAATCTGAATGTTTGTTTACATGACACATTTTTATTCCGAACGGCCGTTTAATCCAATTACTTATGTCCATGTAAACATAGCTATGGCTAATGATAGGGGTGGCTTATGCCGATTCATAATCCGAAGGGTGTGCATGTAAACACTGTTGGAGGTTTAAACTGTATTAATCAACTTCTAGGAGTAATTCTGATCATTTACAGTGAGGAAAATAAGTATTTGAACACCCTGCGACTTTGCACGTTCTTCCACTTAGAAATCATGGAGGGGTCTGAAATTTTCATCTTAGGTGCATGTCCACTGAGAGAGACATAATTTAAAAAAAATAAAAATAAAAATCCGGAAATCAAAATGTATGATTTTTTAATAATTTATTGTGTACCAAAATAGAACTTTTTGGTCTTAATTCCACTCGCCGTGTTTGGAGGATGAAGAATGAAGAGTACCATCCCAGAAACGCCATCCCTACTGTGAAGCATGGGGGTGGAAGCATCATGCTTTGGGGGTATTTTCCTGCACATGGGACAGGACGACTGCACTGTATTAAGGAGAGGATGACCGGGGCCATGTATTGAGAGATTTTGGGGAACAACCTCCTTCCCTCAGTCAGAGCATTGAAGATGGGTCGTGGCTGGGTCTTCCAACATGACAATGACCTGAAGCACACAGCCAGGAGAACCAAGGAGTGGCTCCATAAGAAGCATATCAAGGTTCTGGAGTGAACTAGCCAGTCTCCAGACCTAAACCTTATAGAAAATCTTTGGAGGGAGCTCAAACTCCGTGTTTCTCAGCAACAGCCCAGAAACCTGGCTGATCTAGAGAAGATCTGTGTGGAGGAATGGTCCAAAATCTCTGCTGCAGTGTGAGCACACCTGGTGAAATACTACAGGAAACCTTTGACCTCTGTAACTGCAAACAAAGATACTGTACCAAATATTAACACTGATTTTCACAGGTGTTCAAATACTTATTTGCAGCAGTAACACACAAATAATTTATTTAAAAAATCATACATTGTGATTCCCAGATTTTTTTTACATTATGTCTCTCACAGTGGGCATGCACTTAAGATAAAAATTTCAGGCCTCTCCATGAATTCTAAGTGGGAGAACTTGCAAAGTCGCAGGGTGTTCAAATACTTATTTTCCTCACTGTAATATGTATTTTACTTAGCGAAGTAGTGACAAATGGTTGCAGCATAAAAACAAGGGCCTATTTAAATGCAGAGGTTGTGCTGTTTGTTAAAGCTGAAGGAGTCCAGCAGGAGGACGTGGCAGATGTGCAGCTCTCTGATAACACCTCGGTCCTGTGTGATAATACCACAAAAGCGTTTCATAGATTTACAAAGGTCTTCTGTTTAGCTCCTGGGGCAGCTGAGGCTGAGTGGTTAGAGCAGTCGTCCTTTAATGTGAGAGTTGGGGGTTCAAATCCACCAGCAGCCACATGCCAAAGTGTCCCTGGGCAAGACACTGAACCCCTCATAGCCTCTGATGTGTGTCCCATCAGTGTATGAATGTGATAAAGCACTGATTAGTCTCTTTAGAATGATTTGTTCAATTATCTTTGTAGAGATCTAGTAGAGTGCTGTATGAATGGATAAATGAGGCACAGATTGTAGTGTAAAGAGCTTTGAGTATCTTGAAAAGAGACAGAAAGGTGCTATATAAGTACAGTCCATTTACCATTCCTGGGAAAATAAGTTGTGTGGACGGTGCAAAAGTTCGGAGGAGTGTTGACCAGGAGGTGGGACTGACCAACTGCACAAAACCCGCTGTATCTTCACGTTATATTCAGAATTGATTTGCATTTTGGGGTTCGCTGCCATTTTGATCAATTCTCCACATCTGTTTGTATCATGTTACCAGATCTTTCCTGTTTAAATAAAGTGTTTTAAAAGTGTGAAGTCGTCCCTAGTTTCCCTCCGGCCAGCGAACCTGGGTGAGCAGAGAGACACGCTCTTAACAACACTTAATCTGATCATTTTATTCTGGTCGTGGAAAATTGACTCTACTGCGCATGTGCAACCTGTCAACCTCACATATTTCCACCTGGCTAATGCTAATAATGTTAGCATGTCGGGGAAGTAAAACTGGTCGGTGAGTGACATCATTTCTACTAGAAACTTTGAAAGAGCTCAAAATGATGTGTATTACCTGTAGCTCAGTCAGGGACGTCTCCGCCGTCATTAAAAAATTCTAGAATTCTAGAATTGCACCGCTCAAGGTGGCTGCATGTTGGAGCAGCTCTGTTACTTTCATTCTAAGATTTTGCTTTTGGAAACTTTAATTACTGGTTTTCTGGATGCAAGTCATATTTTTTGGATGATTGTTTCCTCTGGTATCAGATGCTGTGCAGCTGGAAGGATTTTTACTGAAACTTTTTTATTTTGGGACATTTGTTATGATGTGTAACCATGGCAACAAGGCTGTTTTCTACAACAACAAGGCTGTTTTCTACAACAACAGCAGCTGATTAACATCTCAAAAGCTCAAATAATATCTCAACTATGGCCCCAACTCTCAAATGAGTTGAAAAGGATATGTGGACGCATTCTCATCTACCTGCCAGCTGTGCTCGAGTGCCTGACCACTGAGATCCTGGAAATGGTAGGAAACACAGCTCACGACAGCGGAAAGACAGGATCGTCCCTCAGCACCTACAATTGGCTGTCCACAGCTATGAGGAGCTCGGTAGACTGCTGGGAGGAGTGGCCATCGCTCTGGGAGGAGTTCAGTCCAGCATTCAAGCGGTCCTACAGTCCAGGGGAACCGAGAGGTCAGCCGAGTCTGGGTGGACGGATCGGACGGCATCTGCAGCCAGTTTCTTAGGATCCACTGTGGGATGAACCTTTACAAGAGATCCTTCCTGTCTACAGCCATCAGCATCTATAACATCTCTTAATGAAATGAGGATAACGAGTTATAACAACAAAATAATTTCCCTTTGGGATTAATAAAGTATTTTTGAATTGAATTGAATTGAAAACCTGTTGCGGGTCCGTTTGGAGCGCTCAGGTTTGTTTACGATCATCCAGGAAGTAAACCGGAAGTATAACTTCTTCTTCTGTGTTTTTTTTTAGCAGAGTTTACCACTTTGCACATGTCAGTACGGCTGTTCAGAATAAAAGCTGCATGTAAACGTTACATTCAAATGATTGAAAATTTAAACATTTCAATCTGATTAAAGAATTTTGCGCATGTAAACGTAGCTTGTGTGGTGTTTGAACATGATCTTGTGCATGTGTGTTTTTGCTGGGCACTCTGATTTCCTCCCACAGACCAAAAACACTGGTAACACTAAATTGTCCCTAGGTGTGAGAGCGTCCCCCGCCTCCCACACGACGACTGCTGGAGACAGACACCAGCTCCAGCTGGTGCAGTAAAGAAACTGGACGGATTTACAGTTTAATGGGAAGCAGCACATTGAAATTAAAACTAAAAACAATGTGTCCAGTTCTCGCAGCGAGAGCACGGACAGATTGTTTTTCTTACCAGTGAGGTTCCTGGGCTTCTTGTGGCTAAAGGCTGAAGCTCCCTCCCCCACAGGATGACTGAGAATACTAGAGCCACGAAACAGAGTTCGCCTGAAGATAAAAACGAGGAGATTAATAAACTGATGTCACCATTTAATAAGGTTTAGGCTTATTTCTCAAACCTATAGCTACATCTGCAGGTTATAAGCACCAACCTAATGCACCACTACAGGTAAATGGCATGCATACATGATTTAAAGTAAATGTTGATGAACTGTACAATAGTTGTTTCAGTTTATTATTTATCTTCCCTTGGTTTGTAACAGATTGACCTTAGAACAACAGAGACGATGAACTAATGGCTGATAAAGTAAATCATGAAATTCTACTTGAAATAAATGCACTTTGGAGACACTGTCAGCCATTCTCACATCTCACCTGCACTTCCTGCACCTGTAAGACACCTCGGAGGAGCTGGAGTGGACGGGGTCAATGGCAAATATCTCCCGGGGAAACTCTGTAGCCCCCTGCTCCAACTCTGCTTGCACACAGGAAACATCAGGAATTAAAACGCAGTCATTGGAAAATGTCTTGCAAAACATAAATCTATTTAACATGGTGTGTGTGTGTGTGCTCACCTGGATATTTCTCCGTGATCTTGATGAGTCTGTATTGTTTGTATAAAGGACTGGATGTGTCTACTTCACAGCCCATGGCTTCATACAGACGCAGCTGGTCCTCAAATCCTCTGTTGACCCTAAAACACATCAACCACATTTTAAAGTATCTGACACACACACACACACACACACACACACACACACACACACACACACACACACACACACACCCACACACACACACACACACACACACACACACACACACACACACACACACACACACACACACACACACACACACACACACACACACTCACACACACACACA